CAAATGTGAGCCAATGATTAATCTTACATTTTCTGTACATTTAAAAAAGTAAAAAACATTGGGGCACCTGGGTGGCTCAGTCAGTTAAGCATCTGACTTCGGTTCAGGTCAGGATCTCACACCTTGTGGGTTCAAGCCCCGCATCAGGCTGTGTACTGACAGCTCAGAGCCTGGAACCTGCTTCAGATTCTGTGTCTCCGTCTCTCTCTGCCCCTTCCCTGCTCTCTCTCTCAAAAATAAACAAAAAAAAAAGTAAAAAACATTTAATAATGTATTTTATTTAGCCCAATATATCCAAAATATCATTTCAAATTGTAATCAATATAAAAATTAGTAACGGGTCATTTACATCCTATGTCATCTTAATTTTTGAAATCTCCATTCAGATTTGCCACATTTCAAGTATTCAATAGCCGCAAGCAGTGGCCATATCGAACAGCGCAGTTCTAGAGTCACAGATATACACTAAAATTTTTATCAGTAAGAGTAATCTTTTGACACTTCAGCTAGTTTTAATCCCAGTAAATTGAATGGAAAGGTTTTAAATTTTTTTAAAAGGGAGATTTTATAGCAGCACTACTGACAAAAGCCAAAGTATGGAGAGTCCAAATGTCCATCGACGAATGAATGGATAAAGATGTGGTATACATATACAATGGAATATAACTCAGTGATCAAAAAGAATGAAATCTTGCCATTTGTAACGATATGGATGGAACTAGAGTGTATTATGCTAAGCGAATTAAGTCAGAGACAGATGATTTCACTCATGTGGAATTTAAGGTACAAAACAGATGAACGTAAGGGAAGCAAAAATAAGATCAAAACAGAGAGGGAGAAAAACCATAAGAGACTCTTAAATACAAAGAACAATTTTGCTGGCAGGGTGTTGGGTAGGGGGAATGGGCTAAATGGGTGATGGGCATTAAGGAGGACACATGTTGGAATCAGCACTGGGTGTTATGTGTAAGTGATCAATCACTAAATTCTATTCCTGAAATCGTTATTACACTATGTTAACTAACTTAGATTTAAATTTTTTTAAAAGGAGGGAAATTTCATCAATCTAAAAGAAATCTAATGGAATAGTGTGAACAAAATTTGTGACTATTTTAGTCAGAGGATTGGGCTACCTGACCTCCTAATATATAAAAAAAAAAAAAAAAAAAAGAAAGGTAAATTCTAAGTTTGATCAGAGTTACTAAGTAGTTTTTCCAAGACTTCTTCAGCATTACAACAAGATTTTCCTGCAACCGTTACTGAAAAATCACAACACTGAAAAGGAGAGGTGTTAACAGGGACACATAAAGAAAAGAGGAAATATAAGTTAACACTAACACAAACGAATAAGATGATAAATCCACAATGTGGGATACACTAAGGCAATCAGTGATCTTTCTTTTTAAAAAGTAGGGGACTGGGGCGCCTGGGTGGCTCAGTCAGTGAAGCATCCAACTTCAGCTCGGGTCATGATCTCACAGTTTGTGAGTTCAAGCCCCGCATCAGGCTCTGTGCTGACAGCTCAGAGTCTGGAGCCTGCTTCGGATTCTGTGTCTCCTCTCTCTGCCCCTCCCCCATTTGTGCTCTGTCTCTCTCTCTCTCTCTCAAAAATAAATAAATGTAAAAAAAAAAAAGTGGGGGACTGTTTTAGGTTAAGATTAGACATACATGAAAACCAAAAGCAATGCATAAATAATGACTGGATTCTAGGGCATTTTGAGAAAAGGGAAGATTTGAATATGGACTAGCAATTAGATGATATTAAGGTCTTATTGTTAATTTACCTAGATGGAATGGCAATGAACTTGGGTAGGATAAAGTCCTTATTCGTACAAGAGGCATGTAAGTTTTTGGGGATAAGGCATTATGATGTTTGCAACTTATTTTTGAAGGTTCAGCAAAGAAAAAATCTAGACAAATATGGTAAAATGTTAACAGTTCTTGAATCTAGATGACAGCTAGACATCCATTATACTATTCTTCCAACTTTTTCTGTGTTTGAACATCCTCATCATAAGGAGAAATTCTAGATGAAAACAGAGACATAACAATCAAATATGCTGTATGAACCTTGATTAAATCCTTAAAAAGTAGCTAAAAAAGACATTTGGGGGAGAAGTGAGAAAACCAGAAAACGAAGTGGATATTACATGACATTAAGGAATGATTGTTAACTTCAATAATGGTATGTATTATGATTATGTAGGAGAATTTCCTTACTCTTGGGAGATCAGCTGCTTGCTCCAGTAGTTAGGGATGAAGTGTCATAGTTTCTACAACTTTCTTTGAAATGGTTTCACATACCTAAAGCCAATGTGGCAAGATGATAAAAATATTGACCTACAGGATGTTTATGGGTGATCATTTCACTATTCTTTCGGCCCTTTTTATTTTTTAGAGAAAGAGAGAGAGGGAGCTAGTGGAGGAGAGAGGCAGAGGGAGAGACACAGAGAGACAGGCAGAGACAGAGGGAGACAAAGGGAGGGGTGGGGGGATTTTAAGCAGGCTCCACACTCAGTTCAGGGCTGGATCCCATAACCCTGGGATCATGACTTGAGCCAAAATCAAGAATCAGACGCTCAAATGACGAAGTCACCCAGGTGCCCCTCAGACTTTTTTTTTATGTTTAGAAAGTCTCATAATAAGTGTTTAAAAATTTAAAGCTAAAAATAAGAAGTGCATATCAATATTCCACTTTTCTAAATTTCGGCAAATAGGATAAAACCACAAATCAAAACTGCCTACGCTTTTCCCCATGTAGATTCTCATACTAAAAAAGGACCAGCGCAGATGTAACACGTCTTTATTTCTGTGCCCTTTCTGGCACCATGCATATATAATGGATATTAAAATGGCTTTGTGTGAGACCTGCAGCATACTATGGAAAAATAGATGGGCCCTATTTTCAAGGGAGCTCAAAATAGTATGGTATAAAATAGTTCAAATTCTTATTTCCCAACCCAATTTTCCATTTTAGTTTGGTTTATGAAGTTTTATTTCTAGAGATAAGCTCTCAAAAATTTGCCTAACTTAAAAAAAAAATTGCCTAACTTAGTGGTTCTCAAAATCTAGATAGCCATACAGGCCTACTGAAACAAATATAACACTGTATGTTAACTCTACTGGAATTAAAATAAAATAGAAAGCCACAGATTCCTTTGATAAACATTAACTCTCATATCGCAAAGGTAAGAATCACGGACACCTACCTTCTAATTATCTCACCAGTATTATTAAAATAAAAGTGAAAGGCTTACACTATATAACAAAGAACTGAAAGATTTCTTTGTGGCCAGGGCTTTATGAAGTTTTCCTAAGAAATTAACTCAAGTAGGAAGCCCTAACATTTTTATTCTGATGAGATGCTCCATACCTGGCCAATGGTTAATAACCACCTCTTATACTACATAAGCAAACAAAATCCATCAGAAGGTACAAGTAATGTTTCATATAATTTACAAAACTACCTGATGGTATTAACTTTCATTTCAGCCAATCACTATTGACCATCTTGAGCTGGTGATTAGAATATAAAAAGGCTCTGCTCTAGCACTTAAAAATCACTTACTGCTAAAAATTATCCATCATATTGCACCACAAGAGGAAGATTTTATTTTCTTGTTCACCAGTACTTCCATCTGGACTGAAGTTGGGAGGGTTTTTGTTTCTTTTAGTAGTGGGAAAGCATTTGCATTTAATGTATAAAGACAAAACAGGATTCCCCAGGGAAAGAGAGCAATAAAAACAACAGTAAGGAAAAAAAAATCGAATCAGACACAAATGATTTATATAGTTGATGTTGGGACGGGTTATTACCCAACAAAAAGTGATTAAGAAATGTATTCTTAGCTTCAATTATTTCTGTTAGATCAGTACATTTTGAGAATAAAGATAAAATCCCATAAATTTGAATTCTCTATTAAAAGTGTAAGTTAATGACATTTCACAACATTTCGGGGTGGGGGGGGCGGGGAAACATGCCAGGCTGCTGAGTGTTATTTGAAGGCGCAAATTTGTTTATTTTTCAAATGGTGCAAACAACCCTCCTTTGCAAATATTATGTTTTTATTGTCAGGCCTGGTAACTAAATCTGAGTAACTATTTAACATGAAGGGTGTCGACCAAAGCTTTAAGTGCGCTTTCTAGAAAGAAGATGCAAGAGGGTAAACAGACCCCCAGAGGTAACCATGTGATTACAAACCAATTAAGTTCAGCAATTACTGAAACCGCTTTCTCTCCTTTCCGCAATAAAGGATCACAAGTGAGACTCTGACATAAAAATGAAATATGCTTACATGCAAAAAGGGCAAGGCTGTTTTGAAGAAAGGCTATTTTTAAGAGAGAACTGTTACATGGTAAAATGTGCACAGGGATGTTTGATCAATGTAGATAGATGACTGATGGCCTATTTAGTTAGAAATGCCAAAACAATGGTTTTAGACATAAACATGTTTTCATGGTTAAATTTAGTTAGTATTCACAGTGAAATGGGAAAAACAGAACTACTGAAGAGCAGGGAAGAAAATCAACTAGGTATGGGTAGGGAAGAATCACCACTAGGGCCTACTGGTTTTCAAGAGCGATTTTATGTTTACTCACTACGTTTTAGAGGAATACCAAAGTGCATTAATGCGCGTCATTCAGAACTACAAAACTCCTCTCAACTCTAATTTCAGCATGTATCACTTAAATTAATTTTTAAAAACAGAGCTAGCCTGATGCAGTTCAGATGTAATTACTTTGTGAAAAGAAGAGCTAAAGCAAACCTGAAATATTTTGCATTATGTAATTATGCTTCAACTTAAACTACTCTACTACCTACCTGGTTCATCTTTCACCCACAATATGTGTTTTTAAAAACCTAAATGCACAAGCTACAACAAATCAGACTCCTTACACATAAACTATTCTTATAAACTATTCATTCTCTTTTTAGCTCCTGACCAAGCCTGGGAATGTCACCTATATGAGTCCTATCTATTACTTTCAAATGCACTAACCTTCTCAAAAACACTGGATGGGGTCATCAAACAAAACCTGATGTTCTGTATGATGGTATCGGTATGTCTCCAGCGTCTTCTATCATGCCGCAGCCAAGACTGCACAGCCTCGTACAGCTCTATCTCTGGGAACCTGCTCAGATGATCATTATCCAAATAAGACATGAGCTTCTCAAAGCTAAGATAAGACAGGAAGTCAGGCCTGGACATGAGTGGCACAAAGTTGTCTAGCAGAAAGGCGTCCAACTTCTCCCTGACTCCCTCGATGTTAACACCAAAATCATCTAAGAGTCTCATAATTTCTGCACAATTTTCTAAGCAGATTTTGGCTAACAGAAAAGAGCAGCAGAACTTCACCACTTCTATAAGTTGAACATACATGGCAGCCTGAAGGATCTCATGAACAGTATTCATACTCAGTTCTATAGTTCCATAGTACATAAATTGAAGCACGTGGCTGAAACCAGTAGCAGTTAAACCTTTTAAATGAATTTTGTCCTGATCTCGCTCCCTCATGTCTGCAGTAAACATAATTCTGAAGTAATCACTCTGGGTGGCCAAGAGTGCTTTATGGGCCTGGAACTGATGATCTTCAATAACCAGAGTGACATCAAGAAGCAATCCCTCCTCATACAGTGCTCTGAACCCAGCAGAGACACTGGTGTCATGGATGGAGGAACAGAATCCTTCCACGTCCCCTGCCATGAATCACCTGGAAGAAAGGTAATCAAAGAAAACTGTGTTAATCATTTCCATGCATTCTGAAGACATTATTAACTTAAGAGCTTAAACAATTTTTCATAATCATCTCAATTCCACTGCCTAAATCATAAATATACAAGCCCTTTGGGAGAAGACAACCTAAAGGTTTGCAGGATAATGTTTTGGCTTCCCTACCTGGGGAAAAATATATCTAAATGATCACATATCTATCAAACAATGGTAAATTGTTAACTTACAAACAATATATGCCTATCCCACTGATTTTACACCGTTCACCAAATATATTTCAATATGTTCCCAGATTTTCAACACAAAAAGAATTTCTCAGCCAAACGCTAAATTATGAGAAAAAACAACAAGAAAGAAACCAAACCAAAAAGTACCACAGTTGACCTTGAACACTCTTAGAAACTTACCCAAAGGAAATAATGAGATAAATACGCCAAATTGTACACACACAAGATTTTCTTTCTAGCCTTACTTACAATAAAAAAAAAAACTGGAAAGTATTCAAAAGCCCAACAAGAGATTATTAAATAAATATGGTGCATGCAGTTCTATAATGGATAGCTTTAACAACTAAAAATGATGGCAGCAATATACCTACTCTGACAAAGGATATTTATTAGGTACTGTTATGTGAAAAAACAAAAAAGCACACAACTACAGTTTACTTGGTGCATTTTTCAAAATTAAATACACACATGTATGTTTAGATGAGAAAAAATCTGGAGGAATATATACCAAAACGATGTCCCTGGGTAATGGGATTTCAAGAAATGTCGAAGTTTACCTTTTATTTTTTACTTACCTCATTAACCTTATCCTAAAAAAACAATGATCACACATTGCTTATATATTTAAAATATAAATATATAATTTTTAAAGGGAATTAAACCACATTTTTGCATATCCGAGAAATGAAGCCGAGACCGTGGACTGATAATTAGATCTCCGAAGCAGAATCAACTAATTCAGTCTATTAGACTGTTTATGAAGCAAAGCAATTTTCTCCTTTTCACACAAGCACCCTCCCTCATACCCTGCCCGCCAGCCATCTATCCTCTCCTCTCAACCTCACACAGCTTGGGGCCTCCTCCGTTCCCGAATTCCCTCCCTACCCTTTCCACTGTGCCCTGTGGAATCTTGCTTCAGTGAAAACAAACTCCCCTACAGCCTCCTGCTGGTCACAAAGTTTTTCCCGCAGTCTGATTTAAATATGAAAACATACTCCTCTATAGCTTATAAACCTACTTTCTAAGGCTCCTTTTTAGCTTTCTACTGTCCTTTTTCTAAAACACGGCCTTTTGCTCAGATAAAAATTCATCTTCTATTGCTTCTTGTCACTTGTCACATACACACATCCAGATCGATCACTCTCTCGTGCACGTTTGCCAACAACTTTGGCACCTGGCTAAGACTCATGTTCTCCACCTCTTCGATGTTCACATAAGACCACTCATCCAAAACCTGAAGAGTCAAATTTCCCTGACCACCTCAACTGCTTCGGCCTCCCTCTTTACTCCATTTTAAAATCTTATTCCTGTACCTGCTAGATGTCAACACAATCCATAACTGGTTCCCATCTAAAATCTTAACTGTCAACTCTTCACTCTGCTTAATCTTCGCCTCCCTTTTCACTTGGTCTATCGTTTCCAAACTTTACCTGTATCCTTCTCCAGCTTAGATCTTCTGGTGTTGGACACAATCTCCCAAGTTCTTTCCTTTCCAATCTCCCCACTCTATTACCAAAACCTCCTCCTTTACTTGCTAAAAGAGTACTTCTGTGTGCCAGGCATTATGTTAGGCATGGGGAATGTGCCTTTCAGGAATCCCCTCTGCACCCTGGATTTGGAAGAAGCCTCTGATACTGAGAGTGAAAGGCATCTTCTGTGGACATGCTAACAGCTCTACTTATCCAATCTTGTGAGCAGACTATCACCGTATTTTTGTTTCATCAATGTTATCTGTGACACCCCATATTTAACTTCTTGATGTATTAACCCATTGATTCAGTAGTTACCCCCGTCTGAAGTCATCTTAAAAAAAAAAAAAAAAACACCTTTGTTAATCAGCAAGACAAAAGTCTGAAAGAATAATATGCCAAAATGTTAAAAATGGTTATCTCGGGATGGCAGAGTATCAAGAAGTTCTAATTTTTTCCCTTTTGCTAACCTGTGTTTTCTAATCTATCTGCAGCAAAAGTATATGATTGTTTTGAAAATTCATTTTTAAAAATATTAAGAAAAACTAATTGCCAAGTCCAATGGTTATAGACTAGTCCCTATTTTGCAGAATCCTTCCACAACGTGACTTACTCCCTTGGCTCAGTTTCATGAAATTACTTCCCTGATTCTCTTCCTATTCCTGGGCTGTTTATTTCTCAATCTTCTCCCTGGCCTCATTTTTCTTGAGCTTTTCCTTAAACACTGGTGTTCCCCAGAATTCTGTTCTCGGACCTTTTCTCTTTTCATCTTAACACCGTATCTCCTTCAATGATCTCATCTAAACCCATGGTTTCTTCTAACACCTACCTTTACCAAAACCTTGACTATCTCTGTCCAAATAGTGAATGGATGCTAAACATTTCTTCTTGTGTCCCACTGGGATCTCAAAAACATCATGTCTAAAAGTAATCATAATATGACCTTCTCCCAACCAGTTCTTTCTTCCATATTCCTCATCTTACCAAGAGGCAGTCTAGGTGACTCACTCAATTTGTCCCTAACTTACCTGCAAGTCTTACTGATTAAATTATATATATACAATCACTTACCTAATACAGCAAAGTATGCACACAGTGAAATTACTATCAAGTTTTTTATTAGTACTCCATTGTTCCAAAAGCTATATTTTCACTTTGAAGGCAGAACACAAGAGGTTTGTCTATCATGTGGAAAACAGATATAAAATAATTTAGATACTACAAGTAATTCTTGGCAAAACAACTTTACTAACACATTCAAGATTAAAGTAAGATATGAGGGTTTTTTTCCTGAATTATTTTTAAAGGTAAAATTAATGAGCTTAGAATCTTCCAAGTGATATGAGGCATACGTACACAAATGCGCACTGGGAACAAAAGGAACATCACACGGCGTGGTATCTGAATAATCAAACATTATGGTTAATAGCGGACTACCCACATCACACTAATGACCAGTTTTCAAAATAACTGGAACTTAAAAATACAATAAATTAGACGAGATGAAATGTCTGATATTTCATTATCTTTCTCAGGATCATTATGAACACCAATTATCACTGTGACTTGTCAAGATACTGGTCACATTTAATGGAGATTTAGTAATAGAAGACTCGACCTCAGGGTTTGTATGTGTGAGAGTAGACTGCTTCGTGTTTTATTCATCTGTTATTTTGACAATGCCTAGAATACCATATATTTCACTTCCTGTCAAAGTAACACTCTCTATTCAACAGTTATCACTATCTGATAAGGTCTCCAACAACTATTATTCACCTTTCCGGAAAAGGTTTCATCTGAAGGAAATTTTTAAAAGGAGATACTATGCTGCAATAAACATAGAGGGGCATATATCTTTTTGAATTCATGTTTTCGTCTTTGAGTAAATACCAAGAAGTGGAATAACTGGGTCATATGGTAATTCTATTTTTAATTATTTGAGGAACCTCCATACTGCTTTCCACAGTGACTGTACTAATCTGTAGTAACCAAGATATGGAAGCAACCCAAGTGTCCACTGATCGATAAGTGGATAAAGAACACGTGTATGTGTATGTACATACATACACATACTATAGAATATTACTCAGCCATTAAAAAAAGAATGAGATCTTGCCATCTGCAACAACATGGGATGGGCCTAGAGGGTATACTGCTAAGTGAAATAAGTCAAAGACAAATACCATATGATTTCACGCATATGTAGAACTTAAAAAACAAATGAACAAGGAAAGAAAGACAAAAAACAGACTCTTAATACAGAGAACAAACTGGTGATTGCCAGAAGGGAAGGTGGCGGGGGGAACGGGTGAAAATAAAGAGAATTAAGAGTACACTTCTCCTGATGAGCACTGAGAAATGCATAAAATTGTTGAATCATTATACTGTACACATGAAACTAACATAAGACTGTTAATTATACTTGAATTTTAAAAAGTACAATTAAAAAAGTTTTTTAACATTTATTATTGAGAGACAGAGAGAGACAGAGCATGAGCGGGGGGGGGGGGGGGGGGGGGGGTGCAGAGGGAGACACAGAATCTGAAGCAGGTTCCAGGCTCCAAGCTATCAGCACAGAGCCTGACGCAGGGCTCGAACTCACAAACCCCGGGATCATGACCTGAGCCGAAGTTGGATGCTTAACTGACTGAGCCACCCAGGCGCCCCTAAAAAGTACAGTTTTTTAAAATAAAAATAAAAGGAGAAACTATGATTTCTCAAAAAAAAAAAAAAAAAAAAGCAATCTAGGTTCCAGATACTCACTATGGTAGAAACATCATAGGGCAAAGAAGAAAAAAAAGAGAATGATTGGTAAAATGTGAGTCAAGAGACCCTAAAAAATATAAGGACAGCACCCATACTCCTCTGGGATGCAGCACACCAAGGGGGACTCCAAGCAGGCAGGCTTCACTCTGTGATCCTGTCCAGTCACATACGGTCAGACTGGGGTGGGAAATATGAATCAAGAGGAACACTCTCTTGTCAAGAATTTAGAAAAAGGAAAAAGAGAGAGACGTGCACTGACTGTGTATGACTAGAACTGGAACATGTCAAAGAGCAGCTGTAGGCACCAACTTCTGCCTGCCATGTGGGCCGAATATCAGAGAAAGCCAGTGAACTGAGAAAGAAGGATAAAGCCAAGACAAGAGGACAGGGAGCGCTCCCTAACACCTTCATTTTTCCAGTTCCTAGGCTCAGCTCTATTCCTGCCCTTGGGTTCTAAGAGAAATCCTTCCATGCTTGGAACAAATTCCTATTTTACTACTATAGGTGTGTT